TCGGTAAAAAAAGATAGAGAGGAAAGGAAGAGGTATAGAGGTGGAGTAACCCCAGAGTCATAGGACTATATACAAGGGTTAAACGGTAACCAGTTAAAGCCTAGCGAGGTATAAATAAAATTTATATTGAGTTATTATTTATAAGATTTTATAACATTTTGACCTGTAATGTTTGAAAGGTAAGAGAAGAAGGACAATAGTTGCTAGGGAGAGGGGAGACCCTTCTCACAGGGTTTGTAACTTTAATTTAGGGGGTTATATTTCTAGATATAGGATACACATCATGACACATAGCGATTATATGATAGTGGGGGGGACAGGGGGGAGATAGGAGATAAAGGGGAAACACATAAATACAGTAGTAGAAAATGGTTTTTGGGGTTTATGGATATTATAGCACAGGTCTCACATAGGGTGAGAACACAATTAGAGTAAGGTATATATATAATGGAAGGATCAAGAGGGCAAGTTGGTCTTAGGACATGGTGGAGAGAATTATCACGGAAAGGGTTTATATAATTCACTTAGCAACTTATTCCCCCTCCCTCCCAGAAGAAAATATGGAAGTAGAATAAATGGGTGAAGAATGTAGAAGAGAAGAATTAGATGATATGAGATTGGGTAATGAATGTATATAGATATAAGATATATTAAAGCCAAGTGGTAGACATTTAATATGGAGAGATGTATAATACATTTTATGTATAGACAGCATTATATTGTAGTATCTCTAATTTTGAAGAATTGTATAAATGTGTTTATTGGAAATAATAAAAATATATTAAACCAAAAGACTATGGCAGGAAGAGGATTCCCCCCCTCCCCAAACACTTACAGTTTTGCTCCAACTCTCTCAGCTCTGTTTAGTACAAGATCACAATGCTCTGTTGTCTGTTTAGTACAAGATCACAATGCTTTTGAAGGAAACAAACTTAAAATTTAAATATGAAGGAAATCTTCAAAAAAATACTTCTCTAGTTCTGTGTTTGTCAGTCCTGTACATATGTCACCCTAGCAGCATTTTAAAGGTTAAATGTTCAAAGTGATTGTTAAAGAAAAATGTGTCATTAAGAGCAAAATGTAAGCATTTTTTGTTGATCTCCTCTTCTTGAAAATGTAAGTTTCCGGGCTGTCATTTTGCTGCTTTGCTTTACAGTAGAAATGAAGCCAAAACTTTCTTTTAGTTTTGGATGGAGTGGTGAGGGCTGAGAACACCTATCAGTTTTTTTTTTAATTGATGTCTGTATCCTAACTATGCAGATTCACCCTCTATTGATCCTGGTGACTGCTCTCATCAGGGGTGAAAGTGAAAGAAGATCCCAAATTTTGGGTTGTCACCAGAACAGGTGACCACACTTATCAAAGGTTCCTTGACACAGTTGCGTGCCTTCCACATATATCTGCAAATGTATGCAACTAAAACCTCTGTTTTTAACCTGAATAGCTGAAGCTGGACTTAAACATAATCAGATGTTGTCTAAATAAAATAGGCATGGCTGTTCTTTCTTCCAGATCTGTGCAGCAATCCAGTGTGAAACGTTGCCTCTTTGCAGGAGCTTCCTGTAATAAAGACCGGTCACTGCTGCTCTCTTTACTTGTGGGTTGTCTGGTCTTGTATCCACCCCCTCTGTAGTTTTCTGCAGACAGCATGTACAGGGTGTAGCTTATAGGTCCCTCCCACAGCTCTGCTCAGGCTAAGTGCACCACAATGATGGTGTCACTGTTACTTTGTCAAGTAAACATTTGGTGCACATAAACTGGATTTGTATTCCTTGCGGCCACTGAGGAACACATTTAAATACACAATGTTGGGACTGGAGTTCAGCTTTAAACAGATTTTTTTTTTTTTGCTGGGTAGCTTGGAAGTGTGCCGAGCACCCCGTTTGTACATTGCTCTGCCCATGTGCACCTTTCTCTGCTAGCTAGTTTTAACACATTAGAGCAGCTGCCATGTTTGTCTTTGCCGCTTTGGGCTTCTAGTGTAGTGTTGTCTCCAGGAGAGCCTGCTTTCTGTTTATGCATTGTTATGTATGTTCCACAGTTGGTGGAGTGACTGCTTCTGAAGGCTTTTAGTGTATTATCTTCTAGAACTATATTCACGTCTTTAGAAAAGCCTCCTCCTCTCCCATCTATTTACCTGTATAATCCAGGCAGCCTGTAATATACACCAATCAGCCATGACACTATGACCACTGAGAGGTGAAGTGAATAACATTGATTATCTCATTACAATGTCACCTAGAAGTGGGTGGGATATAGTAGGCAGCAAGTGAACATTTTGTCCCTGAAGTTGATGTGATGGAAGCAGAAAAAATGGGCCAAGTGTAAGGATTTGAGCGACTTTGACAATTGTGAAGGCTAGATGACTGGGTCAGAGCAACTCCAAAACTGCAGCTCTTGTGAGATGTTCCCAGTCTGCAGTGGAAAGGACCCACCAGAAGTGGTCCAAGGAAGGAAAACCAGTCAACCGGCAACAGGGTCATGGATGACCAAGGTTCATTGATACATGTGGGGAGCAAAGGTTGGCCTGTGTAGACCGATCCAGCAGAAGAGTTACTGTAGCTCAAACTGCTGAGAAAGTTAATGCTGGTTCCGATAGAAAAGGTGTCTCAACAGCATCGCAGTTTGTTGCGTATGAGGCTGCCTAGCCACAGACCAGTTAGGGTGCCCATACTGACCCCTCTCCACCGCCAAAAGTGCCTACAAGGGGCAGGTAAATATCAGAACTGGACCACAGTGCAATGGAAGAAGGTGGCTTGGCCTGATGAATCACATTATCTTTTACATCATGTGGATGGCCAGGTGTGTGTGTATCACTAACCTGGGGAAGAGATGGTACCAGGAAGCACTATGGAATGAAGAGAAGCCAGCGGAGGCATTATGATACTTTGGTCAACGTTCTGCTGAGAAACCTTGGGTCCTGCCATTCACGTGGACCTTACTTTGACATGTACCACCTACCTAAACATTGCTGACCAAGTAGACCCCTTCATGGAAACGGTATTGCTTGATGGCAGTGGCCTCTTTCAGCAGGATAACACACTCTGCAAAAAAGGTTCAAGAATGGTTTGAGGAACACAATGAGTTTGAGGTGTTGAGTTGGCCTCCAAATTCTCCAGATCTCAATCCAATTGAGCATCTGTGGAATGTGCTGGGGAAAAAAAAAAAGAGTATGATCAATGGGGGCCCCACCTCACAAGCCTTAAAGGATCTACTACTGACATCTTGGTGCCAGATACCACAGAATACCTTCACATGTCTAGTGGAGTCTAGTGGTGGTCATAACATTATGGCTGATCAGTGTACAAAAGGGGCAAATCAAAAGGAGGATCATATAATGTGAAAGGTGTGCTGATACACAGTTCTATGCTTAAAAAAAAATCAATAGTCATGTCTATGACCTTATATCTCCAAAGTGAATAATGATTAATTACATAGGTTATGAACACTCGTTTAGCTCAGAACGTGACTGTAGCCATGATAGGTATACTTTAAAAAAGGATAATTTGAGGATCTTTCCTAAACTATTATTAAGGAAATGACCGTGTGTTGCTTATACCAGACACTGCCATGGCCCGAGGGGTTTTATGGTTGAAGGTGTGATCAGAATTCCCTTCTCAATAAATATTGTCCACCTGGAATTTCCTTCTCCAATTGCTTTTCCTCTGTAATTCCTTGACTCTATATTTATGGGACAGGCAACAATGAGTATGGGACACATTGTCCAGCTGTTTCTCACCTTGAATATTTGTGAGCTGTGGTTTACAAAAATCACCAATTACATAAACCAATTAGAGTAATTACAGATCATGTGGTCTATTGACCTGAGTACAGACCTGCAGCTTATAATTATAGGCATACAAGAACAACACCAGATAAGGTATGATTGCAGTAAAACAGATTAGGTTTACTTGTGTTTGTAGACACACCAATCAAGCAGAATGGTGTATTATATGTAAGGTTAGTGAAAAAGTAATGCCTCAGTAAAAGCACCCGCCTCTGTAATTGTCCATAGCCCTCTAAAAATCAAGGTTCAGTTTCTTTGCCGTTATAATAGATCTAAACCCTAACTGGATGACAATAAAGTGACACTGAATTCAGGAGTTAAAACTTAAAAATGTATTCACTGTTATGTATTTAACTGTTAACAAAAATGTATCATTCGGCTGTAGGCCCTCAAATCATCTCTGAATTGGTGCCGACACTGTCATTCCTTCAGGAGGGTGGCTACTTATGTTTCCCATGGTCGCTGTGTGTGTTGTAAAGTAGTCACCGCTCCAAGCTCACTCCTGTGATAGACTATAACTTCAATCCATGTTAACCAAACGTGAGATTATAGTCCATCAAGAGAGCAACCTTGGAGTGGTGGCTTCTTTACAACACACACAGGGACCAACGGGAACAAAAGTAGTCACCCTCCAGAAGGAAGGACAGTATCAGCACCAATTCAAAGACGATTTGAGGATCTACAGCTGAGTGATACACAAATAAGATACATTTTGTTAACAAGATACTTAAATACAATTGTGAGATTTAACTCCTGAATGTAGTGTTAAGTTTGTTAAATCACTGTGCATAATAAAAACAGTTGCCATATTTTTCCCCTTAACAATGTTTACCTTTTTTCTCATCATTTCCATCTCAGTGTTGCTGATCTCTTCCAAAGTCTTTCAGTCACTTCCTCCAACATGACATCACTACTCTTCCTGATCGTGACAATGTAGACTATGCCTGGGCAATGTGTGAATGCAGCAGGAGGTGAATTAATTCTAATTCTACATGGCAGTAGAGAAAAGACCGGACATCTCACAACTGGAGAATACAAGAAGCCATTGCATGATTCTGCCCATCAGCTAATGGCACAGCACTAAAATATCAGTACTTAGTGGAATGACCTTTTAAACGTAGACTGACCACATAAAATAATAACTCCACAACTGCCCAGCAGCTACAGATATCCAATCATCCACAGACACACTTCATACAGGAAATGTTAATACTTTAATATTTATGACAAATCTGATGATTTCTGCTGCGATATTCCTAATAGAACAGCATCTGCTTCCAGCAAGGTCGTATCTGTAATGGCTCCTAGGAATCTTGAAGTCAGCTCCAGGTCAACAAGCTTCAGGCGCACTTTAGTCCCTTTTTGGTATTTTCTGTAAAAGACAATAAAGGGAATCAATAGTTATGACACTGAAAAATTGTGAGACAATTGCATTTAAATAATGACAATATTCTAGTTTTACTCCAGGCTAATCGCTTAATACACCACCGAAAACACACATCAGAGAGCCATTTATAGTAGATTAATGCAGAGTAAAATTCAACTACTTTTTTGTTCTGCTTTTAAAGGGTCAGTCCTCCCAAAATTGACATTTCAGATTTTAGTAAATTATAAAAAGTTACATGACCTAAGGCAGGGGCGGCCACAGTTTTTCGTCTGGAGATCTACTTTTCAAATGACGAGCTCAATGAGATCTACCAACGTAAAAACACCTGCATTCAGGGGGCGGGAGGGAGCATGGCGGTGCATTGAAGTCAATGGTGCACATTAGTGCCTGCGTTCCGGTCCAGTGCGATCCGCAAAAATGCTGCAAGCACTATTTTTGCAGATCACACTGGACCGGAATGCAGGCACGGATGTGCCTGCGTTCCGGGTGCGGGCGATCGAACTGTGGGCGGGGGACATGGCTGCGGTGCAACTCCACGGCCCCTCCCGCCCCTGAACCCAGGGAGTCGGCCGGCTTACATTCCAGTGCGTCCTATCCTCCCGCGGTGCTCGTGTGGCCGACGTTGCACACAGGGAGAGGTGTCTCGCCCCTTTCCGTCTGCGGCGTCTGACACTTTCAACCGGCAGCCGCGGGAGCATAGCCGTACCAGCTCCTTTTGTGCACGTGGCAAGAAAAAAAAGGTGCCCCCTAACAGGCGTGTGAACCGAGAAGAAGTGAAGGAAGCACTTCAGCCGCCGGGGGACGGAGCCGCTGTAACAGCAGCATTTGCGGTGAGGGGAGAGAGAGCCGCCGCCTGTCAGATTCAGGCCAAGCGTCTCTCTCTCTCCTCACCGCTCGGCGTGCTGCTGCGATAGCGGCTTCACTCACGGGATACTCCCGATAGCGGCTTCGCTCACAGGAGTGAGCTTGGAGCTGTGACTACTTTACAACACACACAGGGACCATAGGGAACAAAAGTAGCCCCCCTCCAGAAGGAAGGACAGTGTCAGCACCAATTCAGAGATGATTGGAGGATCTACAGCCGAGTGATACACAAATAAGACACATTTTTGTTAATAGTTAAGGGACTTAAATGCATTTTTAAGATTTAACTCCTGAGTTTAGTGTCACTTTCAAAAGGTTTGGACTATACCTACACTTTAATTATGATGACCACATCACCTGTAGTCCTACTTTTGGCAGGAGCGGGGACTCTCCATATACACATAATGGTTTTGTTTTGGTAGATTATGAATGAAGCTGAATTACATGGATCTGAAGAACAACTACCCTGGACCCCACTATGACTATAGCCAATGAGTACACAATACAAAGCAGGCTTCTGCATAAGTGGGGAGACCTAATAGGTCACCCTACAAACATTGATTACCTAGCTATTTCTGCAAAACAATGATGCCAAAATAAATTTCTCCTTAGTCTGCTAAAGTTCCAAGAAGAGTATTTGAGTAATATAAACACATTTTCCTATCCTACCTAATCTGTGGTATTCTTGATGTTGATTCCAGACAAACAGCTTAGATCTGAAAGTTTTGAATGGCATTAATGTTGCTCACAAATATGTGCGCAAAGTATGTTTTCGCTGTTGGTAAACACCAGTCTTTCATCTCCTTACTCAACTGTAAAATATTTTCCTGCAATGTTCACGGATCAAAACAGGCCCTTTTTGCAGCACGTCGCAATTGTGGAACATGAATGACAATTATGCTCACATCTCCCAGCAGAATGTACTTTTTAGCAGGAGTGGATCAAAGTGCTGCTTAGCGGTTTCCTTTTGATCCACAAACAAGGAATAACATGCAATAGAGTGTGCATTAAGAGATTATTCAACACCCCGGAGTCTTACAGGACTTATAGGTTGATCTTACAGGGAAAAAAGTTATTTTACTTTGAAAACATAAATAAATGAACGTTTGATCTTGTTATAGCCGACTGTGGATTCAAGAATTCCTGCTATACTGTATCCAGTACCCACACACCCTGGTTTATTTGGGCCCCATTTACACAATGGTATTATCATTCGTTTATCTGATTAAATCGAAATTCTGTGCAGTTGGCTTATGTAGACATAAATTTACAATGTATACATAATATATAAAAATGTATTCTACCTCCTTCACCACTGCAGCCAAAGTTCTAGCATTCAAATGTGATCCACAATTCTTCTTTATTGATTAAAAAGCCAAAATGCAGTACATCACAGTAACAAGAGACCAACGCGTTTTGGCTACACAAGCCTTAGTCATACATGACTAAGGCTTGTGTAGCCAAAACGTGTTAGAGTGTTGCTGTGATGTTCTAGATTTTTCTAATTAATCAAATCGTAAATTTTGTAAAATCGGAATTGTGGATCTTATTTGGGCACTAGCACTGTCATAGTTAATTTCTAAGGACAGGAATAGGCAACATATAGTGATATGGTTCACAAGCTTGTATTGCAGTGGCAAGGGTCCAGGAATAAGTTCCCACCAGGAATACAACAAGCATGGCTCTTCCGGTGTTTGCTTAGGTTTTCTCCCAAAAGCATTCTGGTAGGTTAGTGGATCTTCAGAAACACCTGCGCAAATCTTTTGGGGGGACATTGCAAGTGCAATTAAGGATTCTCCAAGTGCAAATTCACACTATCGTGTAGCAACAACGTACATTATGCTTTGCTGAAGTGCAATTCATATTGAACAATAGCCCAATGCAAAGGCAATGCACTTGCACCACTGTGTGTTGCATTCCTGAAAAAGGATCAGGTATGGTTTTGGCTGCGATAGCGTGCATTGGCAGCCTGTTCAAAATGAATGGGCTGCCTTGATGCAACGCGTGTTAATGCACCACATTGTGTGAACCCGGCCTAAAGGTGATGGAACACATGCCCAGAGGGAACGCATTAGGCAAACAATTTGTGAGCAAACTTGCTATGTATGGACTAGATACACCAATGTTTCAGGAGAGCCAGTAGATGTAAAGTTTTACCAGACTTTCTACTCCAATGATAAAAACTGGTGTTTACCATTACTTCCCCATAGACAGTAATAAGGGTTTTGACCGACATACACTGAAGATATTCAGTGAACTTCTTTGGTTTTCACTGAAGGCACAAAAAATACCATGTGCCTCTTCTTATCCGACTCTGAAAGATTATTATTATACAGCGCTTAACAATATAAGGAAGACATTACAATCACAATACAATTCAAGACAAGATGGTAAGAAGGGCCCTGCCCCTGAGGGCTTACAATCTAAAAAGCCCTGGGGCTTGCAACTTCCCTTATAGGCGAACTTTGGATACAGTTTTAAAATACTAATACAAGAAATAAATGACACTTGCAAAGAAAATGTTAAGAGCAAAGAGCTCTTTACCAACATGCTCACAAATATCCCACCCTCCCCATTATGGAAGGATATTGAAAACAGAGCTTGTGACCAATGCCATTACCAAAGGGCCAAACATAATATTTAGTGAATGTAATTCCACACAAAAGCTGTCAGACTGCAGACATGTTGCAGAAGATGATCAGAGACTGCTATAGCAGTTGTTGGAGACTGGGGACATACTTCAGGAGATAATCATAGGCTGGAGGCGAATGCTGCAGATAACGGCTATTACAGCCCCTTTCCAAATCATTTGTGTTCCCTACAATGACTTGTGCCATATTTGAGATTTCTCTCGGCAAGATCCATTACAAAAGGTTAGAGTAAAAAAAAACATAAAAGAAAAAAGGAGTGGACAGCATTAAAAAAAAAAGTACAAAAGAAATTAACCAAACCATTTCACTCATGGAACCCAGTGTAAAGAATATTTTTCCTTTACGTTAAGAACATATGTTCTCAGACTACTGTCCGCAAGGCCCTAGGGGCAGCACAATAAGGGCCAAAGGGCTGCACGTTGGGCACAAGGGACATAAAGGGTGCCTTTTGCCATCTCATTGAGACCCACACAGCTACACCGATCAGGCATAACATTAAAACCACTGACAGGTGAAATGAATAACATGGATTATTGCAATGGCACCTGGAAGTGGGTGGGATATATTAAGCTGCCCATATACCTTACAAATAATCTGCCGATTTTCGTATGCGATCACGTTTTCGTCCGATATATTATCGTACGATAATCGTGCAGTGTATGGGCACCTTTAGGTTGATGGGCAGTGTACAACCGCAAATACTGTACAATCGACTTTTGACTAACCAGCAGGTTAGAAAACTTTGGTCGAGCGTACGATTTTCGCAAGGTTGGTGCCGTTTACGTATGTCAACATTCGTACGATTTACACTGCACATGCACAAACGAAAGTACGTGCGGTCGATTACCGCAATTCGTCCAGGTGCTTTTCTGTTAATTACTGCTGATTGAACCTTGCAATAATGGGGGCAGGATGGGGCCGCCGTCCGAAAACGTACGACGGTTTGGTCATCGGACAAAAAGTTTCGTCCGATGATCGCAAGGTGTATGGAAAGCTTTAGGCAGCCAGTGAACAGTTTGTACTTGTAGTTGATGTGTTGAAAGCTAAAAATGGCCAAGTGTAAGGATTTGAGTGACTTTGACAAGGGCCAAATTGTGATGGCTAGACGACCGGGTGAGAGCAACTCCAAAAGTGCCGCTCTTGTGGGATGTTCCCGGTCTGCAGTGGTCAGGACCTACCAAAAGTGGTCCAAGGAAGAAAAAGCAGTGAACCGATGACAGGGTCATAGGAGGCAGAAGCTCACTGATGCAAGTGTGGAGCAAAGGCTGGCCCGGGTAGTCCAATCAACAGAAGAGCTACTGTAGCTCAAATTGCTGAAAAAGTTAATGCAGGTTCTGATAGAAAGGTATCTGAATAAACAGCGCATTGCAGTTTGTTGCGTTTAGGGTGCGCCACTGCAAACTAGTCAGGGTGCCCATGCTGACCCATGTCCACCTCCAAAAGTGCCTACAATGGACACATGAGCATCAG